AAAGATCGACGGACTTCAATAAATTGTTGTTGTAGACGCTGTGATTTTTTGAAAAAAAAAAGTCTAACTGCTCCAAAAGGACGTCGGAACATTTTTTTTTAAATGTGTGTTTTTTAATTGGCTATACAATCACACTTTTTATAATTAAGTTAAGTATTATGCATGGTTTTGGAGATAAACTAAATGTTTATTAAAAAAAGTGGTAAAATGTAAAAATCAAAAGGGCTCCTGGCAATAAATGAAAATTCCATTTAAATACAAAGCTAAATAAGGTTTTAAGCTTTAAAAATCGACTTTCTAAACCCTTCTTTGTTAATAACTTTCGTAGAGACAGAAGATTAAAGTTATGCATTTTTGTCCTTGGGGGGATAAATAAATAAAATTTTGCAAAAACTATTGGGCCCACAACGTCCATCTTTCGCACAGTTTTGAGAACAATAAAACTCACAACTTTTAGGCATATTATAAAATTCCAACAAATAACAACCAGATTATTAATTAAAAAATGCTGTTTTTTCACGTTTTTTATGTTTTTTTGCAATAACTTTTAAACAATTTATCTGATTTTAATCTATTAGGCGGTATTTTGTAAGTCTTTTTAATGCGCATATTTCATCTGCTGAACACTTTTCTCTAAAATCAATAATTTTTCAATTATATTGGAAAAACTGATTTTCGATGCAAATTGTTTAAAAAAACAATGTTTCTAATGAAAAAAGTTGACTCACGAGATGAGACACCTTTTCTACTGCCTTCCCTTGCACATTTCAACAATAAAATAGGGGACGTCAATTCATCGATGTTCAAATATTATAGCGACGATTTTTCTTAATCTCAAAGTGTCCCAAAGAAACCCTTTAGATTTCGAAGCGCTGCGATTTTTCTCTCATTGTGATTCGAATGATAGAAATTGTCACTTTTGCTAAAAATCAATTAAAGGATAAATTTTGCTTCTTTTATTATTTTTTAAATCGAATTTTTTTTACAAAAATTCATATTCTTTTTGCATCAAAAAATGTTAAATATAAAAAAAATTAAAAACATTTTATTGACGATTATGAAACGTTGTGAATATTATAAAGATATGTTCTATACATAACGTGCGTTAATCGCTTTCGAATTTCCGTTGGATTATTTTTTTTAAATAAACAGTTCTTTACGAAAATTTCAATACGTTCATAATTAATTTATTTAAACAAACAACCTGCCATGTTGTTCAAAATTTAAACAGAAGAACTCAAGAACTCTAAATAATAATAACGCGTGGGAAATATTTTAAATGAAGAAAATTGATATACCTAAAAAAAATCGATCTGTAAACAGGCAGTGGCAGATCTTTACTCGTATCAAACCAAAGTGGCATCGGAGAAAAGGAACAAGTCCTATCACTTTAACACATTTGTATTAATTAATTATCGTACCGTTAAGTTGTTCATAACTTTTCGTTATATCCGCCTCTAATAAACATTTCAAGAAGCGAATGCGTTTAGGGAAGTCATGTCAATGGATTAATGACTAAAATAATAAGCACAAGAGTTGAATTGATAAAATTTCGATTGACAAAAATACATAAACATATTTTACGATTTATGACACTACTTCAGTTTATTAACTAACGAAAATTAGATTTGTATATTATGTCTTAATTGAAGAATCAAAAGGATGGCAGTATTTACCAGGTTCGGTCGCTGACGCAGCAACTTGGCATTGAAATGTTTGAAAAACTTGTTCCTGTATTTATTTACAGGTCTGGATGTGGTAGAAATGTATACGCCCAGTATAAGAATACCTGCGCAGACAAACGGCGTATAACACAGCTGCACTGGGCAACTGGACAATAAATCTCAGTTGTTGACAAGTGGTTAACAAATTGCCTAGCAGTGCAGTGCAGCAATGCGGAATTTGGTGTGATTCAGGTAATTTTAATTTATTATAGGCACTTTCTATTAATCATTCATATTACAATTGCGAAAGGGAGAAATAAGAGGGATATTTTGTTTACTAATATTATTACAACATGGCATTTTGGAGACCTTTTGCAACGGGAGAAAACGAAATTTACCATCAATATAATATAATTGTTTAAGGACATAAATAATTAAAATATGTTGTTGGCCAAATGAACATATAATAAAAATTTTCTACATATTACATACAAATTATTATATTTTTTTACCTTCAGCAGAAAACTTTTTTAGGGTCGTCTATGAAACTCATTATATTTTATTGCTAGGCGTTTTTATACATGTTCAACTGACTTCGGAAAGACTATACTTTCTATATCTACTTTAATTAAATTAGCAAGAGATCACAGATTGATTTGGTTGGTATCTGACATAACGCAGATACTAATTTACTTCTCAATATCCATTTTAATCCATATTTAAGCACACAAAAAGAATCATGATGCTACATATTTGACAGACAAACTATACTTACTATACTAAAAATAATTGTAAAGCCCTCGAGACTTAAAAAAAGCTCCTCCCTGCTCCATACACATAATCTTTAGAGAGGCATAAAAATCGACTATAAAAACTGTTTTAATGGAAATGGCTGTAAATACTTCATAAGCCCACCTCTATAAAATCACTCTGTTTTCGTTGTAAGACAGAAAGCTTTTACTTTTTATACGCGAATATAACACATAAATCTTATCCGAAAAGGTTACTAGGAAACCCTCCAACAGGAATTTAATAAACTAACAGAAATTTTACATTATTTCAATATTAAGTAAACTTAATATTTATTCGAATTAGTTTATAATAAAAATTCAAAGTCTTTGTTTTCCTCCCTTATAAGTCATTGAAAGGGTTTCCCAATTTTTTTCACACGGATACTCCTCCGGCAGATTAAACTCAGATCAGCTCCTCGCCGTTTCAATTCTTCAGTTACGTGCAACTCCGGCTTCTATTTGAACAAGTGAAATTAATTTTAGTTGTGCAAATAGTGTGGAGCCCGGCTAACAAATTGTCATTTTCGCAAGTCAAACACTGGCTCTGTTAATTGAGCTGGGGACTGAGGGAATATTAAATATCTTCGAGCGGCAGACGGGGGCGGCGCTGTACATATGGAAATGTTCGCTTTTGGATTTATTTATGTCACTGTAAGTAGGGGATAATTTAATATACCTGCGGCACGTCCCAAATGTAATGTTTCACTTGAAAATGTAAATTCGTGTTTGCGTACACACCGGGAGATTTGGAATTTATTTTTCTCAAAAGGACGACTTTCTGTCGCATGTTCGAAATTCACCCATGTTCCGAATAAAATTCGTTAATCTATCAAAAAGCGCAGTTCCTGCCGAAACCCCGAAATCATACACTAATAACCGCAGACGGCCTATTTCGCAGATTGAAAAATATTATTCCAAAGCACTATTTATCCAAATCTGGCGCGGACCTCATTACGGAAGCTCTGCGGAGCCAACGTCGAGCGTGTTCGAACGTCAACCTAGGGACCACGCAGTTCAATAACCAATGTCGGATGCTCGCCAGTACTAGTAGTACTCTCCAAATTAATAACAGACAAACTTTTAATTCATTTATTGCAAATTAATACAAAAATTTGAACAAGTCGCGCAAATAACTAAAATTCAAAACTTTTTAAGTAAATACACCTATTTTGTCACAGAACGCCAACAAATATTTTCTGGCTGAGTAATTATAAGTTTTTTACTCGTATTCCATTAAGGATAAGTATGTCCCACAAGATGATATGGGTAAGCATAATCATGATAGCCATCAAATTCCTGAGCCGAGTTATAATTAAACAGATCCTTGACTGACTTGTATTATGACCCGGCATATCCTATTAAACACATTTGAGTTAGTATCGGTCGGATTCTCCAATGATTACCCCAACCCCTAACAATCCTTAATGAGCATTGAGTCGGTATTGGAACACGCTTGGAATAACTTACCGCAACAAGACACGGTCTATCTCACTTATCTCGCTTGACAGATACTTCGAAAACTAGAGATTACATCAATCATAGTGATTGAGTACACCCATTTTTTTTTTAATAAAAAACTATCATAAGCCTCAACTGTCGAATGTATTTTATTCTCATAAAGCTTCTCCACACAGAAAGAAATACAGAAACTATTCAAATTATTTGGCAAAGAATCAAATTTGTCGAAGAACCCCAGAGATTTTAAATGTTTATATGCTTTTGTTTGAGTAAAATGTAGTTTAAAGTCACCGGGAGCTTGTAAAGTGAATACTCAATGATTAAGTCAACTATGTTCATAGATAAGAGGAGAACGTGGATATATCAAAATACCCCAAGCTGAAAGCATTTTTGAAACGTAAGAATGACGGCTATACACCTAAAATGTCAAACGTTTTTACAAGGGAACAAATCAACGATTTTCTCGTTCAGGCACCCGATAACACATATTTGCTAATGAAGGTAGCGACGGTCTTAGGCATTGCAGGAGCATGCCGTTTTGATAAGTTGTGCAAACTTACTTTGGACGTCAATTTAAAAAATTTCGATGACATTATTGTAGTTACAATTCCAGATTCTAAAAATGGTATGTCACGTACGTTTACAATTACTTCTCGTCTGAGTTCTGTTTCTCATCTATAAATTCTCAAGAAATGTATCAAGATTGGATTGAAAATTAAAATTGGAATTTCACGCTTTTTTATGCGCTATCAAGCAGGTAGATGTTACAACCAACCAGTCTACAAGATCACCCTTTCTATGATTCCTAATAAGATTGCACAGTTTTTGAAACTAGAACATCCTGAAATATATACAGGCCATTCATTCCGAAGAACATAGACAACGTCACAGGAGTTGACGTATTAGCAATCAAGAGACGGATCCGCAGAATTCCATATAGCACCACATATCTTAAATAGTTTTACACTTGCATTAACGTAAATGAGGTCGAACGTTAACAAGGCTAGTTCTGCAGCATAATAAAGTATGCACATTCATCGATGCGTAAAGTTAAAACTAACCACTCTACGACACAAAGGCAGCTTACCTTTTCTCTCAGCATGTCTCTCGTCCTCGTGGCTTGCGTCCGGCTCCTGTGCAACTCCAGCTGCAGTTCCAGACATCTCTCCTGCCAGTTGATAGCACTTGGATCACTGTGGCTGCCGCCGCTGTGGCCGGATTCCAGCACATCGAAGGCAACTAGCGGAGGCGGCACTACCGAACTCGCGTCTCTCGCGCGTCGCGGAAGAAGCCTTGGCGACGAAGGCGTAGAATGCGACGATCTGAAAACATAAAAAAAGACTGTACTTAGTTCTACAACCATAATATAACAATTTTTTTCTACTACTAAGAGGAATTGCGTTTTGGTAGAAGTAATACGTTTAATTTATTGCAGAATATCATTGGCAATCTTTCGCAATCAATGCAGTCATCCAGAAATGGCCCGCAATCCGTAGTAATGCCGCAATTACCGAAATAGCTTAAAAGCAGGCTGTGGTAGAGGTTGTCTTTAACAAACGTTTATTTAATACTTTTTGTGAAAAAGAATGGTATCTGAATAATTATTAACATACAGGCTACATATGAGAGGGGTTGAAATTTAATGTATAATTTGTTACTTAATTAATATAAAGAAATATAATGTTTTCTTATATTTATTTTTTTTCTACATTTAAAAATAAGAAAGTCAAGGGGGTGTTCAATTTTTTCAATTGACATTAATCTTGCAACAAATACTACTTATGCAACAAAATTATAATAACCTGTAGCAAAAAAGGTGAAAACGGTAAAGAAAATATGTTATAGGGCGAATAAAACTTTGACCTAACATAACTGCCAGGCAATAAAATAAAAATTTACGATCCTATTCCAAAAAAACGGTTATCCATAATTCCCAAATAATGTTGCATAATGTCAATATCTTACGCTTGGCATTCCAACGACTGCGAACCGTACAACCCTAGTCTTGTAACAATAACAATATTTTATAGTCACTGAAGAGGGCTTCAGTCACTATTCTTTGCGTTTCTCCCCCACTGACAATAAAATATGGTTCCTGTACTCAGCATAAGCCAAAAGATATATAAAGGTTGCTTAAGTTGATGCTCAGATGTAATTTTTTTACCATACTGGATGACCCAAAGTAACTGAAAAGCTTCAGAAGCCAATCTCTTATTAATTCATTAAAAGACAAGAAATTCATATTATGACTAAGAAATTATGCAGTGGCATAAAAAAGAGAAATGAATGTTATATACAACTAGCAAGTTTCAACCAAATTAGTACGTCTTGAAAAAGTTTTTTTGATTTTAGTTTTCATCACACAAAAATATACAGGGTGTCGCAGTTAAATATGATACAAGCCTGTAATTTTATTTTTTGGACGATTTCAAACATTTTTATTTGGGAATGTAGGGTAAAAAAACTCTATATAACTGTGATACTGCTGATTTTATTAATGCAATTCAAGGCCAATTAGGACGCGTTTTCTTGACATCAAAACAGCTGATTGGTATTAGCGATTTTTTTCCAAAAAACAGATTACGCATTTTCATTCATAATTAGTTTACAATACTATTATCGTTATAAATATGCTGTAAACTGTAAATTTATAAAAAAATTTCGTGTTTTTGAGCCTGATTTTGTCAATCATTTTTGGAAATCCACATGTTTTATCAAGCTAATATTCAAGAACTTACTAAGCAAAGTATTACATACATAAGCAAAGTAGTATGAAATAATTATTCCTTTAAAATAAAATGCAAAAAAAAAACTTAATATTCATTGATTTCATATGGTTTCCTGATAATTTGGAATAAGCAAAATATAATAGATTTGCTTAACTCAGAAGATTTGCATTAATATTTACCTACCATCTATTGAAGTGATAAATAAATATAAACATATACTAAGCAAATGTTTGGAAATAAAATATTTTCTGTATGACAACAATGTGATGTTTCTTACAAAACAAGACATGATGATTTTTATTTTGATTAGGTTCTATGTTTTACAATGACATCATTAAACAAACTTGTAAAGTAGACACATTATGAAAATTTATGTATACTTTGTTTGATTTTAAATAAAACATTGTTCGTGTTTTCAAAAGAGAAATGCACTCTGAGAGGATGCTATTTAATTTTGAACCACCTTTCAGCTAGAGAAAAAAATGTAGGTAATATGAACAATAAAATAAAAATTTAAGAATAAATACGTATATATTTGAGAGTATATATTGATTTCAAAACTTTATTCGGTGTCTAAAAAGGTTTCTTATATTTATAACACAACAAACACTGAGGGGAAATGTAAAGCAGGTCGTGAATTTCATACAAGCCGTAGGCGAAGGCACGAACACTGTTACTTTTCATAATAAAATTCAAAGTAAAATTCAAATTGTGAGAGCAATCTGTTTAGCGGTAGCAAAGGTTTATAAAACATGGAGCCAAGTACCTTGTCTCGTACCTTGTTAATCAAATATTTTTCATATTTAAGGGAGATTGTCTTCTCTTTGATTCTTAACAAATATGCTACCTGCTAAGGGTACTCTAGTATATAATTTTGTGATATTTCTTTGTCCCTACACTTGAAAGTTTAATCTTTATTTGAATGTTAAAGAATGTCCTCAAATTAAATTGGGTAAGCTAATTTCCTAATTTCATTTCATAGGATATATACCTACTCCTCAAATATTTAGAACAAATTCCCTCCGCTTCCAAGTCCTCACTTTAAAACAAACATTAGTCATTGTTTTCCTTCTAGTTTATAATATTTGTTAAATTAACAATGGCTTAAATAAATATTTTTTCCTGCACATTATAAATCGGTATACAAACTATCGTCTAAAAAATGTTACAATAACGTCTGTGAGCAATTAAATAGCATCAGATAAATGGTAAAATAAATCCACTATTAAAAAATAAAATTATGGGCAAATGTTACAAGGTTATTTGGCTTATTTAGGTATATTTTGTCAATGAAATTGTTTTTATCTAACTTTGCAACTTTGCTAATATTCACGTAACATCATATACAACCCAATAAAACTGAATGTTTTATACAAGAGCGATTTTATCTATAGGTATTTACAAGGGTATTTACTAACAGTCATAAATAATTGGAAATAGCCAATAAACTTAATGATACGTGTATTAGTTTATAATGATTTCAGCTAATGACTAGAGTAAATATTTGCCATTACCAAAGAAATGCTTTAAATAAATATTATATAATTGATTTATTGCTACAATAAACAATTTGGGTTTTCTTTCGATTTAATATATTTCTGTCAAGGTTGATCAGGAGAAATCGAACTTGCTTTCATATATACATTTTATTAGACACAATTATTTTTCTTGTATTTGCTTCTTTTTTGCTAAATATCAACAAACTATAATAAAATAAAATTAATTAAAAGCTAATAAAACTTGATATAACTTATATCAACCAAGAGAGTGTAACAATTTATACAAAAAAATAAAAACATTTGTTGCAAAAAACAAATTTCCCGTGAACGTATTGGAATGTTCCACTACTCAGTAAATTATATACTATTATATTACCGTAACATAATAAATATAATTTATGGTTGACCAAACTCATTTAAAATAAACAAATATGCCAGTAACAAACATATTATACATGCTTTAGTAAGTTATAGTTACTGAACTGTTTTATGTTATGCAATGCGGTAAGGCCTTGTTAATCAATATTTTTCTTGGCTTACCAAACTCAAGGTTGCTTTAAAACGGAATGCTAGTGCATATTTCTATCAAACCTGTTTTACAATTACCAATTTCTGACCTAATAATCCGAACAAAGCTAGTCGAGGTTATATTTATAAGAATATACAAGGAGAACCGATCAAGTATAAAAAATTCGGGGAAAGAGAGAACATCGAAAATATGTTAAAAGGAAGAGAAACTTATTATAAATTTTTCCTTTCAGTGTGGTAGAAATATCCAATCAAATAAAATGTGTAACTGAAAATGCCACAAATAATAATAATTACAAACCATAACTGTTGTGGTAAGGTTCTTAGTTTCGATAATAAGAATATTACTAATTTAACCAATTGCCACAATTTCTTTGCCAACGATTTTTGGAGTGAACTAAATGTAAAACTGTGGATTAATAGAATGTGTTGCAAAATATTGCAGTTTTGTGCGAAGTTATTGAGACAATGTATATAAAAATTGAAACACATGTGCCCTGTTTATATTTACACTGCAGTTAATCGACGAGCAGAACGAATAGTTTCAATATAACGGTACTTAATGACGTATGAAAAGGCATCAAGCTAGATAAAAAAACAAACACAAACCTCGTGAGTTCACCCAATCTAGACAGCGGGTCGTACACTTGGCTCAGCCTCCTCTTATTATTGTCCTCGGCCATCCTCCTTTTAGGTGACTTCCATCTCCGTGAAAACAACCCTTCTAACTACAAAAATTTAGAATTTAAACGACGGCAACAACAAACCCTTAAAACTCGGAATAAAACTTAAGCATATCTCAAATGGATGGAAGTAAAATATCACAACCGCGATCACTTATATAATTTTAGTGCAAGTTCTAGTTCACAGGCGCGATGTCGTTAAAAACCCGCTTATTATCCACTTTAGGTTACCTCGACGTATCTTTAGGATCTTTCGCTCCGCTCATGGCTTTCTATCCGAGACCATACTGACTTGTAGACATGACATCTTTAGTACATAGAAGTGCATGGGCAACGACCCCGTTGAGCAGCACTTAAGGTCGCGGGTATTCTCTTTCTCTCTACTAACAAACATTCGAACCTCTGTTATTTTCATTCATGTAGGTTCGATTGATAAAGTTATCGCGCGCTGTTACAAAATACACTCTGTTCGAATTAGTTTAATAAAGTTATAAAATCGATTGATATAACGCTAAACAACAATGACATAGTATAACAATAATTAACAACAACACTTTGTATTATGTATGTATATAAGGTTAGCTATTTTTAATATTCTTATTGTACGGGTTTTGACAAGACGTATGGACGATGGATCGGGTTCAGAAACCTGAAACAAACAAAAATTATGTCAGTACAGAAGGAAAAGGTAACAGACAAATTATGTTGCATGCAGGACAAAACAACAGCATATCACAGAAATCATCTTCATGGCATGTTATAATTATTAGCTCAAAAACATTTCATTTAAATGGTCTACAGGGTGATTCACAAACGGTGACCGAAAATAAAACACTTTACTTAAATGACATAACATTAGTCATCATTTTAATGATTTTATTGGAGTAAATGCTCAAAAAACCTCCATTCCCAAGAACACAGGCGCGACATCTTTTTAGTAACGAAAATGTAATTTGTTCAAAATTTATTGTTCCTTAAATCTGACGAAAAGTATTATTTATTCTTTCTTCTCAGGTATATTTTTTTAAGGTTTACTCGAAAATCAGTTTTTTTCGAAAAATATAAGAGAGCAGTAATTTGTAAATTTTGAAAATTGAAAGACGAATCCGAAATATCATGATTGTTACCGTCAAGCAGTGGCGTACCATTTTATTTAGGAAAATATGTCACTGATTCGGTGCAACTCCGCAACTGAAGCATCTAAATTTTTAGAAAAGGCCCTAGATTTTGGAATGTTTACATAAATATATGTGTCCAATTTCAAAATATTTCACTTACTACCTTTTAGATTATTTGAAAAAATTACAAATATATTTTTTTTTTTAAATTTAACAACCTGTACCTTTTTAATGAAGCGTCCTAGATAAAAATTTTATAGGAAATACCCCTTAAAATTCACCAAAGAATACGAGGTTTTGATAACCGTTTGTGAATCACCCTATATATTAGTAATTTACATAATAGGTAAATACATTTTCCCGAATAGAAATTAATCTCAAGGCTATTGAAAAACTGTAAATATTATTCATTCCATACATATTTTTTCCACTACAGGGCGTTTACGAAACTGATGATTTATTTTTAATACAAGTTCTGAGAAAAAAAATTCGATTGATAAAAATTTATTTATTAAAAATTGCACAGAAATTTGCAGGATTTTTTTTATGCCATCGAATATTAGGCATTTTTCTTTCACCCTTACTAGGTTGCATTCAGTGGAGAATAGTGTATATACATTCATACACCGTCAAAAACAATGGTAAAGTAGCCAAAGAAATAATTATTGCACTTTAAGAAACAAACGATTTGAAACAGTGTGTTTTGATGGCTGATTTCTTTTGACAGTACATCTACTGCTTGCTTTAAAATTTGTAGCTTCTTAACTATCAGCTTTGTGCATCTAATTCTAAAGTATGTATTTGAATTTTGAATTTGTTTATAAGCCGTCAGGACCCAGGCGGTAAAAGTTGTCTAGAATCATGTGGGCCAGGGAAAGAAAATATTTTTAGCTTTACAGGGTGTTCCATTTCGCGTGGACGCTACATAACAATTTTAAATGGAACACCCTGTATTTCCTTGTTGTGTTCCGAGTTTGTTTGTTTCGTCTTGCGTTTTGTTTTAGTTGTTCTTAGTGGTTTACTTTTGTTTGTCAAACCACTTTTTACACATGCCAGTAAATACTGACACTGTCTGTCCCAGACCTCATAAAATGTGAGAGAAAATGGGTTTTCCAAGGCCTTCTTGACCTTTTCGCACTTTAGAAAAGGACCTGATTTTTCTGGAAACTGTTAAAAATAAGTATGGACAACCTTATATCAGTCGAAAGGGCATTCAATTTTGCATTCACCCATGACAATTAATATGGGCAATTCCATTTGAAAAAAAAGTTTTTCAACTCGTAAGATTATTAAATGCAGGTCTCAGTATTTCGAGTCTGAATAACGTACGAGTAATTTATGCCAAAACTATCTATGAAAACTACAGGTTTCTAACTCTTACGGTTAGACGCTATCTAGCCTCATTTAGAAAGTTGAAATCGTGATTTTTTTCAAAAACAAGTGATTATCTCGAAAACGGTAAGTTTTAAACACCATGTACATTTAATAAACTCTACCTAATATTAACCAAGGAATTCAAAAACGCAATAATATACAGGGTGTTCCATTTAAAATAGCAAAGTTATGTAGCGCTCATGCGAAATGGAACCTCTGTAATGCTAAAAATATTTTCTTTACATGGCCCACATAATTCCAGAAAAATTTTATTAAAACCATTTTTTTTATAAATTTTACAGTTACAGAGTTATAGAAGAATCCCTCTTAGGTGGAACACCTATAGAATATTTTTTATCATTTGAATCTTCTTCTGATACACGTTCTGAGATCTGTTTATATCAACTGAGCCACAGACGACCAAAGCTCATCTCAAATTGTGGGCAATGTCACCAATCAGACAGAGTTTCTTCTAGTCTCATATCTCATTTTGGAATTATGTGTTTCTGACAGCACAGCTTTAGTATACTGTTTACTGTATTTTATAAGGTTTTCAGGCATATGTTCTTTGGTTTTTTTAACTTAATATAATATTTTATACGTATTTTAACAAATATATTTTTGAAAGTGCTCAGCTTTTTATAGTATAACGGTTTACTGAATAATCTCTGCATTAATAAATATATTGCAACCTATAGATCAATGTAAGATGTTTACAATATAACATTTAATATTTAAAACATAATAACATGTCCTTAACAAACATTTAGTATTTTTACACTTCACTGAAGTATCGTGAGGTTATTATGCAAACATTTGCTTTGCAGTTATATAAAACAAGAATTACTTCAGTTCACTAATCTATTCTCAAAAATATTATTCATACAATTTGTGGCTTTTGTCATGCAATCAAACCTCGAAATTACCACACCAATCAATAAATTAGGCAGGCTTATACCGTTTCATTACGCAAAACACCAAACTTATAAACAGTCATTGTACATAGTTGTACATTTATTCATTCTTTCCGTCAAACCATAGAAAAAACCGTAAGTAATGTGGTTCTTAATTCTAAATAGACTCTATGATCTTTAAAAAACAAATGAGAAACACATTTTTTACAATTTAGTTGACTTTACAGATTAGTGACTTCAAGTCAAGTAGTGCTTAAAAAATCAAGTAGTTCTTTAAGATAATTTGACATTTCTATAAATTATTAAGAAATTGTATTTATAGGAACTGAATTCTGAATTGCAATCCTAACATTTTTATAAAAAAAATTATAAAAAAGTAAAGCTTTGGAAATCTATTTAAGAACAGAAAAAATGTTTTATTATTTGTCGATGTTTAACAATCATTAAAAATCACCACGATCCATTGACAAATCCTTCGAAAGCTCGCCTTCCACTTCTTCATATTAAACTCGGTCTCTTGGAAAAGATTGTCACAAAGGACACCCGTTTCGAACACTATGACAGAAAATTCCGAACGTAGTGATGCTAAATTAAAAGAAGGAATTTTCGACGAACCACAAATTCGTATAATGATTAGGAGTGAAGTAGCAACAGCGAATATTATTGAAGAGCAAGCATGGTTAGCTTTAAAAATGATGCTGAATTTCTTGGAGCATCAGTGACGATCGCGAAGTTATAACAAATAAAATGGTTGACCATTTCAAAAAATTAGGAGGTTTGATGAGTTTGAAACAGCACTTCGTGTACTCGCATGTAAACCACATCTTTGAAAACCTTCGAGACTGCAGCGAAGGGCAACTAGAACAGATAGACCAAACCCATCTTATCAGAAAGATATGCGAATCAAGAAGAGAGTCCTCAGTATGAGTGACAAAGATAGGAGACCTTAATAACAGGAATTTAGGTCCATCGCCCATTAAATCAGTTAATGTCACTCATTTATTTGCTAGGTATGGTGCATGAGTTTTACTATTTCCTTGCTATAAATTCGTGGTTTGATTCAGCGAAGTTGATCTTTAGGTTTTATCAGTGGTTTTCTGTCCGATCGAAAGTGAAAGGTTGCAAATATGAAGGAGTCCTTGGATACCCAAGTTTTGCACTGAATATGAGAAGAATATGATGAGTCGACTCATTTGCGTCCAATAAGAAACCTGCTGTTTTCACATTTTAGGGCAGTTTTTGACAATTTAAAGAAGCTGGAGGGTGATGGAGTATTTCCCATTCGACAGACTTGGTTTTTGGTGATCCAAGTACTAAGATGGCATAAGTTTCGTCCGTGTCCCTCTTTTCTGTGTCAATTATTAACGTCAATAGTAATCATACCATACATTCTAAATTTCAACCTGATTGCAAAGTATTTTTTGGGTAATAACATTCTCAATACTATTACAGTACTAAACATGATGTAATACTTTTTTAATATTATTACAAATTCAATTTTAGAACTGATAGCAATCTTAACTGACAATTGCCATGTGTTTCTGCTATATACAAAGTAAATAGGTCTTTATTTCACCTTAATTATATTGTTAATTTCAATGATATGCAAAACGGCTATTACATTTATACAGGCAATTATTTCATTTTTCAAATGGGACCCCTGGGTTAACAATGACGCAAATGTAATACACAGGTCGTATTCAGGAATCATTAATATTATTCAAATTGCCCGCCAAGCAACAAATTCCCGTTAGAATTCGTGTCCCTCCCGCATTACCGTTATCGTAATTCAGCGACAAAAAAATATATATGCCCTTTGATTATGTGGATATAGGAACGCGTGAAATTGTCAAATTCGGGTAACGAAATATATGTATATGTTATGTGTGTGGTTTTGAGGAATTATTACCGTGGAACACGAACATAATGCCCGACTATATGCCACTATCGTAAATAAAACACGAGATTAATAGTAGAACATAAATTAGCAGATATATATTCTAATGCGGATAATTAAGATTTATTTAATATGTCGTTCATATCTGTAGGTGTACACGGGTTGTTAAATGCCCCAGGATTTATTGTTTGTGATATAATGGGTACATCTAACATTGTAGACGTGAGTTTAAAGACAGACTGTTATTCCCCACAAATCAATGACCATCTCCCAGTGAGTGTTTAGGCACAGAAAAATATAATAATTAAAATTGTAATTACAAATTAATTTACACTTATGGCAACGA